TTGGGAGGCAGCCCTGAAGGTCAAAGGAGTCCAGGAAGGATGGACATTCTTCAAGAAGGAAATCTTGGAGGTGCAAGAGCAGGTCATGTCCATGTGCTCAAAAGTGAGCCAGCGGCGAAGGCCACCGACCTGACTGAACAGAGAACTCTGGATGGAACTCAGGAGAAACAGGAGAGTTTCTGACCTTTAGAAGAAGGACAGGCAACTCGGGAGGACTACAAGGATGTCATGACGTTATGCAGGGAGAAAAATCAGAAGAGCCAAAGCCGGACCGGAACTTAATCTGGCCATTGGCAGATTGTGAAAGACAAAAACTATTTCTATAACTGTATTAGCAAGAGGAGGTAATGACAATCTCCAAAGTTTTTTGGATGCAGAGGGCAACAGCGACAAAGGACGAGGAAGAGGCTGAGGTACTTAATGCCTCCTTCACCTCAGTCTTTACTGGCCTTCAGGAATCCCAGGCCCCAGGGAGAAAAGGGATGCACCCACAAGTACTGAGGGAGCTGGCAGATGTCACCCCAAGGCCACTCTGAAGAATCTTTGAACAATCACAATGTTTAGGCAAATTGCTCAAGGACTGGAAGAAAGCAATGACATTTCTATCTTCAAGAATGGCAAGGAGGAGGACTCAGGGAACTACACCTGGTCAGCTTCACCTTCAGCCCTAGGAAGGTGAGGAAGCAGCTTACCCTGGAAACCAATTCCAAGCACATGAAGGACAAGAAAGTCAAAAGGAGTAGTCACCATGGATTCAGCAAGGGCACGTCATGCTTGACCAACTTGAGAAACTTCTATAACGAAATGACTGGCCTGGCAGATGAACAGAAAGCAATGGATATTGTCTACCATAACTTCTGTAAGGCCTTCAGCACTGAGCTGACAATGAGATGGACCAAAACCAGCTGAAGAGCCAGACCCAGAGGATGGCGATCAGTGGCATGAAGTCTAGGTGGAGGCTAGTAACCAGTGGTGTGCTATGGGTTCGCTACTGTCTAACATCTTCATTAATGATCTGGATGATCAGCAGAGTGCACCGTCAGCAAGACTGCAGATGACACCAAACTGGAAGGAGAGGCTGATACACCAGAGGGTTGTGCTGTCATCCAGCAGGACTTGAACAGGCTGGAGAAAGGGGTCCAGAGGAACCTCATGCAGTTCAACAAGGCAAAGAGTAAAGTACTGCAGCACCAGAACATGCTGGGGGCTGCCCAGCTGGGAAGCAGCTTGGCAGAACAGGACCTCAGAATGCTGGTGGACACCAAATTGAACATGATAACACACAACAACCTGCCCTTGCAGCAAAGAAAGCCAGTGGCACCCTGGGCTGTATTAAGGAGAAGCGCTACCAGCAGGCCAAAGAGTCCTTCCACTTTACTCAACACTGATGAAGCCACACCTGCAGTTCCGTGACCAGCTCCAAGCTCCCCAGTACAACAGACATGGACACACTGGACAAAGTCCAACAAAGGGTCACGAAGATGACGAAGAGACTGGAGCAGCTCTCACATGAGGAAAGGCTGAGAAAGCTTAAACTGTTTACCTTAGAGAAAGCTTTCAGGGATCTTATCCATGTGCACAAATACCTGAAGTAAGAGTGCAGGGAAGGAGGAGCCACGTTCTTTTCAATAGTGCCCAATGACAATACAAGAGGCAATGGGTACAAACTTCCTGTGTTTTAACACAAGTTCCTGCTGAACATTAGGAAACGCTGTCCACGTAAGGGTGACTAAGCACTGACATAGGCTGCCCAGAGAGGCTGTACAATCTCCATCCTCAGAGATACTGAAAAGCCTTCTGGGAATGGTCCTGGGTAACTGGGTAAGTGGCCCTTCTTGAGCAAGGAGTTAGGAGTTAGACCAGATGACCTTCAGAGGTCCCTCCCAACCTCAAGCATTCAAACATTTTGTGATTTGAATGTTAATCAAAAGCAGTCAGGGAGAATAAAAAAAACGACTCAAACTTCTACTGGAATTATAAAAAGGTTAAATACAAGTATTTTCCAGTATTTTTCCTTTTATTTCTAAGGATAAAATACTTATAAGCAAGGACATTATAAAAATAGCAGACAAATTCAGAAGGGGTTTTGACTGTCTTAATTATGGCTGCTTCAGAAGACAGTCATGTTGTTACAAAGCTGTTCAATTAAAACATCTGAAAACTTATCAGTGGTCTTTTTCTCTATATGGGATCATCCTTTCTCTATACCAAGGGACTCAAACTGCTGAAGTAATGCAGCTCTTGGGCAAGCATCACAATATTTACTCCAGTGAAACCTAAGCCCCTGCAGAGGAAAAATAAAAGCACAGTTTGTGCCTCATCAGGCCACCTTGATTCATGCCTTATTTTTAAAGGAGCAACATTACTAAGAACAATGTTAGATGCTTCAGTATTTGAAAGGGACAAGAGAAGAGATATCTCACTATATCAGTTAAAAGACCTTCCAGCGTGAGAAATGTTGAGAATTCTATCTTCTTTGAGCACAAATTCCAGTTACTTCTTGAACTATTGACCTAGAAAAGTGTCAGGTCATAACCATATCTAATTCAGAGTTCTTCATTTTGTTGGTTTAATTACCTAGCTCCACATTTATCTTTTGAAAAATGTACACATTAGTCTTCTATTTAATTTGAATTATATCAATTCTCAATTTATTTTTAGCAGCCAGCTCTATTACAATTTCCTAACTACTTAAAACACTGCCACTAAAGGTGGTGTTTTCTTGATAAGAAACATCCTTTAACTATCTTTAAGTATCTTTTGGGTCTCATATTATTAATAACTTGTTTTGTCCAGTTTATGAAAAAAAAAATAAAGAAATCTGAGTAACAAGTCCTGGTAATATTTCTGACTATAAAGACTATAATGAACTCCCATAATTCGTTCAGTAAAGCCTCTTAAAAATCTCTAAAGTGATTTTTATCTGAACATTATGTCTCAACTCTTACTTCTTTCTAGTCTCATTTCATACTCATACACGCACTTAAAAGACAAACACGGGAAAAATAAGGTCCATATCTGTGGGTTTAAGTTAACATTTATGAACATCACATAATTAACATTTATAAGCTGGTTTAGAATTTAAAAAGTAATTTTAAAAAAACACTCTGAATAATCTATTCAACTTCTTCGTCTCAATTAAAAAAAAAAACAAACTAGAAGAAAATGTATTCTACAAGCTCAGGTAATTTATCAGGCCTGGCAAAGTATTAAATAGTAAAACTGTTTTCAAATATAGTAATTTAGATCAGCTTGGTAATGTGGTATTACAGGAATTTCACTGAAGTCAACATCTTAGATTTCGTAACTGAAATGCAGGCCAGACTTGAAGGATGAGAAACTGTATACAGAAGCAGTATTAACGTGATTTAATGATGATGGTGGATAACCTTCTGAGTACAAGGTACTGATGCAATGACACGAAAAGCATTAGACAAGCCCACCTTCCCTCCCTATACCAAGGCAACGAAAGAACATGTGATTAGGGGAACAGTATTAAGAATATACCCTGCTACATTTGTTACCTTTAGGCACATGCATATACTCTTAAAAGTAAATTGTCCAAAAGCAGTTTAGCTACTTCAGCCTGCCATTAGGTAGGTAAGTGCACGTTTTGATATTCTGCAAATGTGAAGCTAAACATTTTAATGAGAACATTTCAAGCAATCATGTTTTACTTTCCATTCGTAACAGGTTAACATGCCCAAGAATTTAAGCCAACACATTTCCCCAAAATTCATAATTCATGTTTACTCTAACTTATTTCTAATGCACCTAGAAAAGCACATAACTTAATATGGTACCAGACTGTATAAAGAATACCTGTTAACAATACAGTAATTTGAAAACACACAATCATAGTTTCACATGCGTTAACTTTCTATCACAGAAGTCTTAATGTATATTAGAAACATGGACAAAAAAGGCCTACTTTCTCTTTAAGATCTGTTAAGGAGGTGCCTATCCCTGAGGAGCTAAAGGCACTATGAATGATACATCAGAGGTTACAATTGCTCTAATGTGCGCAGTTACTCAGCTCGAGTCCACTGTCTTTCTCCTGCAATAGAAATACCTGCATTTCTAGAATGAGAAAGCTGGAATACAAAATCTAATCTTTGCTTTAGAGTACTATGAATATTTATAGTACTCCCACAGAACTCCCCAAAACAGTACAGATCACAAACTTCAGATCATATTCTCAGTGCTCCTGAAATACTCCATTTAAAACTGAGTATGTAAGAGTCCATAAACTTGCAAGCATCACCAGAACTCAAAATAAACTCAACTTGAAGTGTCTGACTTTAAAATCTTCAACCTCTCCAGTTCATGCCAACCAGTTAACATGGTATATGTTCCTCCTTTCTTACCAAAGTGCCTATACAAACAGCAGACACACAAGAATGCTCAAATACAGAAAAGGCATTCAAAAGGGAACACAGTACCTGAGATTTTTTAAAAAAATTATTCTTGAACATTCTATAGCTCCCCATCAAGACCCATCTACACACATATGCCTAGTAAAACCTATTTAAATCAAGGCCATCCACTATTTCCAGTTTATCTGTCATCAATTACGGAACAATCTGGGGAAACTGAAGGAGACTTTTAAATTGTTTCCAAAGAACTTCTGACAGTACTGGACAATAATCTGAGTATAAATAATCACTGCTTTCTTAGGAGTTTTTTTGTTGTGGATTTTTGGTTGTTTGGGGGGGGGGGGGGGGGTGGGTGTTTTTTTTGGTGGTTTTTTTTTCCTCAAGAACTACTTTCTGGAACATTGGGTCTTCATAATCACTACTCAATTTCTAGACAGTTTAAAAAACTTAAAAAGGAACAGTTTCAAAACACCTTTTAAACACAACAGTCACCTGAACAATTATATTAAGTCTTAGATTAGGAACTCAGTACCAAGCTTTTACTGGTAATCAGACGTTTTCAGAATTAAAAAGTAACGACACTGAGGACTTCAGCAGAAGACGAGAGAATGACATACTGCTTACCTGTACACCTGAACCATGACTTCCACTTTTTGAAGCAAACAAACAATCCTCAGAATCAACTGCAAGCAAAACTGAAGCAGAAGGAAAGAGCTCAGAGACAGATCCTTGACTGAAGTTTATAGCCTCTGGATTTTTTTGCCCATCCTTTACTGATTCACTCAGATTGATCACAGAATCTCGTATGTTTGAAATAATCTCATTATTTTCTGCCAACAGGCGTTCTAAGTGATCTATTTTTTCTTGCAATATTGAAAGCTGACCCTGTAAAAAAAAAAAAAAAACATACACAGTAAAGTTTAATTATTTCTCAGACCAATTCATGATAGAACTAAAAGAATATAGTAAGATGATCACACAGAAAGACAAATCTTTATTTTATGTAAAGACAAACTAATCAAAAATTGAGCCAACATATGAAACCTCTTCCCTTGAGAATATAGGAAAACAGCAGAAGTTGTATCTCCACTATGAACTCCAAATTGCAGCACAATATTTAATCACTGATACAAAGATAATCATAAAAGGTCATGCTGTTTCAAGTAGCAATTATGCAACCTTTTTCATATCTTTTACAGATTTGCAAAAAAATGATCATTTATCATCACATCAAAACATCAAAGAGAACGCCATTTTTTAGGAGGAAGTCACATCATGATGGGATTAACAGGATGAATAAATTTTTTTTTCCTGTACATGTAGAATAGTACCTCAATAAATACTGAGCTTCTTATTCTCAGTGAAATTCAGAGAGAAATTGGAGGTAAATTACTGGAGGTAAAATATGCCTTAATAGCCTTGCCATACTAATAATCTGTAAAACTGCACTACTACAAACAGATAGTCCTGTAAAAGACAGCTCAAACTAATAGCACTTTCAGTCAGAAGGTCATATTCAGCTGCCAAACAACAGGATTTTGTAAGATGATTCTAGTGTGCACTGCAAGAGGAAGGATACAGAATAACATCAGTGTGAACTGAAAGAAGTCATCCTATCTCCCAAAGTAACTTACAAGGAGAGACAGATATTACAAAGCAATTTAATAGCATCTAATCACAGTATTGTTAGAATACTGGAAGGAGCATAGCAGAATAAGATGCCTGGAAATGCTACTACCCTCTCATGTACTAGCCACTCCTTCAAAATTATTTGAGGTATGCTTTTTTCTAGAAATGAATGTGTTAGTTCTTGCAGAATCACTAAGGCCAGATTATTTAACACAGCTTTAGGGATATTTCATCTTAACAGTAATTTACTTCTTTCCTCAGAAAGACTTCAACCTAACAATAAGAGAAGATAGATAACAAAAAAACAGCTACTTCCTATTATTAAAGTTGTGGTCAGACCCCAAAATATACAATATACGATTAAAATTTTTCTTCGGAAGTTGTCACTACAACAAAACCCACTGTGGATTCAGGCGTTTACATTTTACCCATTACATTCAACACAACTAACTGAATTCAGTAGACACCTACTCTGTGAGCTACGATTTTAATTACAAGTAAAAAACTTTTTCCTGGCACCAATGCTTAATTTTTTTAAGTAATACAGAATAATATTAGAAACAATATCTGTACACAACGATTTTTTCCCCTTTAACAATAATTCACTTGACAGCTTTGCATTTCCCTTTTAAGGGACAAACTGCTTTCCTCAAATACCAAGTTAATTCCAACTTTTGTAGTTAGGCTGTAGTTTGCAAAGGATTAAGCCTCCTTTCTAAATTGTGATGTGCACTTTTCTCTAAATTCTGTTCAATTCCAGAAGTCCGTGGGAATGAAAAACAAAATACTCTTTACCAAGACACATAAAATAGCCTTTAGGAGAACCTTTTTGATTCTACTAAATCGTCATCCCTGTAATTCTATCTTTATGGGAGCTCTTTATAATTCTTCAAAAGATATGTTTTAGTATTTTTTTAAGCTGTTGGTAAGTTAAACCCCTCATTTTCTGCTCTGTGTAAAATGCTAACCCACTGCTTTGGGGTTTTTTCTTAGATTGATACATCCTGAAAACAGTAACAGGTTTTAAAATACAACACACACAAACAGCTATTGCTTTCCAAAAGACATTAATATATTTTGACAACAAAACCAGGTTAAGCTAACTGAGACACAGAGCCAACATCCTAGAATCGCAATATCTTGAAGACAAATGCTAGAAACTTATCAAATAGATCAACTGAAAACAAAAGGAAACAAATATGCAGACGATGGGATGCTAGAAAGAAAAAAACCTGTCGTCCCATGCCCCCTGGTGGCACAAAAAAAAACAACCAATCAGACTGAAATCTTCCATTAAAGATAGCATATACATTTGTGTAAAATTAGTATTTTCTCTTTCAATGTCTGTGACATTTAAAAAAAAAAAATGTTTCTCTACTCCAAAAACTAAACAGCCTACTATGTTACTCACTCTAAAAATAACATATATAAACTAATACTGATTGGGGCTTTTCAGGCTGTTCAATATAGAGGCTCTGACCTTTAGATTCCTATGAAGCTGAAGTATAGTTGCCATCTATACAAATTATTATCTGCTTCACCGCACATGACTACAGTTCACCAAAGTTACCAAGTGTGCATGTGGCTTAAACATTGTTCATACTCATAAGAACATGTGAGGTACACTGTCCAATTAAGTACATCTTAGTCTAAACAATCATCATTAAATGATGCTCTGTTAATCTGCATACTTGTTTTAAGGTAAAGAAATGCAATGTAAAGTTATATGAATCACCAATTAACAAATTTAGAACAGTTTTGGTATAAAACCTTTTTCTTTCATTTTGCAGTGCCTTTTTATATGTTGACAAGAGTGTGCACAAAAGAATTTTATTAAAAAGAAAAGCAACATTGCTGTTACTTCACAGAAAAGGAACTATTTCTATAGGAACTGCAAAATACTGACAAATCCAACAGTATCAAAAGTAGCTACAGCTGCATTGGTAGAAGAATGGCATCACATGAGCAGTGCATCTGTTCACCATCCCCATGGTTACATAGGGTTGGACTTAACAAATAAAATCTTCCCATGCGAAGATCAGCAGACCCTCTTCCCATCTGGATTTGGAGCAAAAACTGTCCATACCTGCTAGCTGTACTGAGCATCCTGCCACTACCACATGAACCAGCTACATAGTTTCTTACGTTTCAGTCAGTCTGAACCCTTCAGCAGTTTTCATGCCCCAAATACTCCAAAGCCGCCTGCTTTCCCACTGCCCTCTGCCTGTCCTCTGCTTCCAACACCAGTCTGATCTGTAGCAAGGGCTCTCTCTGAATATTCACTCATTCCCTTAATATCGTCACTTTCAACAGACCACTACTGATCACCAGGAAAAAGACAGCTAGCTCAAATAATCAAAGTGGGAGTATGACAGGCCCCCAGACGAAGAAATCTCATGGAAACAGGCAGAAGAGAGAAACCCACATTACAGACTTATGAGGTTCAGTCACCTGGAACTCGATTATTTGCATCCAGACTCAGCCAGCAACCACCAAGTTCAAAACCAGCCAGAGCCTAGCCTCCTTCTCACCTACATGATAAGCAGGTGTTCTGCATACGAGGCTCTCGTGCACCAGTGAGCTGTGATCAAGAAAGCAGAGTACAACAATGAAGAGTACTCCAGGGAATGTGAAACTTAGGTCAAGATCATTGCCTACAGTTACTGCAGTAAGCAGTGAGGAAACTGGACTCAAAAAGTCTTATTTTCTGTCTGTACTGAATGGTGGTCATCTTAGTAATTTTTCTGCACCTGTGTTGTCAATAACTATTTCCAGGTATATCTTCACAAATCACATACTAACTTCACTAAAATCCTGAGACAAACCTCTAAAAAGATGACAACATACTAAGACAGTAAGAACAGAAAGCATTCCCTTTGTTCACTGTTAAAGCACTGTATAGTGAACAGAACCTATTAAATGTAGAATTAAATGGTCACCTGCTGTTCAGAAAAAGCAAGCAGATAAAAGTTAAAAACACAACATGATGTTGCATCAAAGCTTAATATCTAAACACACTCTATCAGCATGTATTTACATTGCAAGGTAGGACATAGAACAAAAAGTCAAGCACACAATGCACCAGTCAAAAGGACAAGTCAAGGTTTAAAGCCTTTATTAATCTGGGCAGAAGGTTTATGTGCATTTGTGATGATGAAGATTACGTAAGTCACCTTGTCAAAAACTTCCTACCTTTAAGGTACCATTCAAAACTAGCTCACTTTATGAAAACACTGGAATTCTTCTGAATTAGCTGAACTACAAAAGTCTGGTCTCTTAAAACATAAGGAAGCTCTATTACAAAGATGGAGTAGCCTAAGAAGCCAATTCTAAGATGCCAATGGAGCTTCCACATTCTGTTTTACCAGAGGCAGGAAAAATGGGAATGTTTAATGTACTGTTATCCTAGCTTTAAGCTACATGTAATTTACAGACGTAAGTATAAGGCATGCTTTTAGGGACTGATTTGACACCACAATCAGTGATCTGAAGGCAAAGAGAAAGGAAAGGGAGATGGAGACAAAACTAGAAATACTCCCTGTTCAAAGTCAATTAATCTGAAAAACATCCACTACTTCTCTGGCTGACATGTTCAGGCTCATTTCCTTTTGATTCCCTTCCCTGCCTTGTACTGAATATTTAAATGGCTAGCAGTACAAAGCTGAAGCATGGCTTACATGGCATTAGGATTACGAGCATTCTGCTAGTATTTAGTTTTACCTGAACAAGTCAAAATTTGAAATAACAAAATCATGTGTCAGACACAGAAAAGGTCAAGTAAGAGCAAACTAGGAAACCTCTCTACATTTAGTTTACATAGTTTGAGGCATGGACTATAGGTAGCAGGAGGAAGTGCTCATTTACAGGTAGAGTTACTACTTCTCCGAAAAACACATGTTGCTCAACATTTTGCCTCAGATTTAAAGCGCAAAAGCAGGAGGGGTTATTAGCTTCTGCCTGACTGCTGCTTAGCCAAAACTTTGCACAAAATGTGCAAGTAACAAAGGCAGATACACTCTGTGAACATTAGAAAGTACAAAGAATTGTTACTGACCTGTAATTATGTTCACAGACAGTTCCTCCTCCCTTCCAATGTACAAGAAGTTCAGCAGAAGAAATCCTAAACTTTCATTAGCTTGCACTCAAAATCATTCTTGTGACAGTCAAAGGCTTTTCAGTTGTGAACAGACTGTTATTGTTAATAGGGTTTTGTTTGGCTGGGTTTTTTTAAATAAGTCAACGTGTTTCAAAACCAG